GAGAATTTCGGTTTGCTCAAACAATGATTTTTGCCATTGAGGAGATCATTAATAGCAGCTCTCTACTGCCTAATATCACAATTGGTTATAAGATATTTGACAGTTGTGCTTCTACATCACCTGCAACACGTACAGTGATGAGTTTAATAAATGGACATGAGAGGACTTTGGGAAAAACCTGCTCTGGTCAATCATCGGTTCATGCCATTGTTGGAACATCTGAGTCTTCGACCACCATTGCGATACTACAAATTTCTTCGGTTTTGCATATACCTGTGGTAAATATTCCCAGTATTCTTTATATCTATTAACTTTGATTCCACTGAGATAAAGAAAAACTCACTGGTAAAATACTGCACAAAATCTAAATTGTAGCAGTATAACACCTTAGTGCAAAACCTTTTGATTCTACAAAAATTTTAAAGACTTTATCAAAGAAAAAAAAAGATATTGCAAACAAGGCTATATTTGCAATCCAGATGACATGATTTAACACTTTTTTTGTGATTTGCCTTTTCTTGTATTTTCTCCTTTCTGAAAGATCAGCCACTTTGCTACATGTGCATGTCTCAGTAACAGAAATGAGTATCCCTCCTTCTTCAGAACTATTCCTAGTGACTTCTACCAGAGCAGAGCACTGGCTAAACTGGTAAAACACTTTGGATGGACCTGGGTTGGTGCAATCAGAAGTGATGATGACTACGGTAACAATGGGATGGCAACATTTATCACTGCTGCACATCAGGAGGGGGTTTGTGTTGAATACTCTGAGGCCATCTCAAAGACAAGTTCTACAGAGCAGGTCGAGAGAACTGTTAGAGTGATTCAGAGCAGCACAGCAAGAGTTTTAGTTGCTTTCCTTGCTTATGATGAGATGGATATTCTGCTTGAGGAGTCTCTGAGACAGAACTTGACTGGGTTGCAGTGGGTGGGCAGTGAATCCTGGATTACAACAAGTCATTTCGCTAATAGGAGATTCTCTGATATACTAACAGGGTCACTGGGTTTTGCAGTAAGAGAGGCTAAACTGAAAGGTCTGCAAGAGTTTCTTTTACAGGTTCATCCAAGTCAGGATCCTCAGAACAATCTGCTGAGAGAATTCTGGGAAACAACATTTGGCTGCAGTTTTCAGGCCAATCTGCACAGCTCAAAACAGTGTTCTGGTTTTGAGAAACTTCAGGATGTTAACAATGATTTCACAGATGTGTCAGAGCTCAGAATATCCAACAACGTATATAAAGCTGTTTATGCTGTTGCTCATGCCATGCATAAAGTGTTTAAATGTGGACAAAGTGGTGAAGTAGATAATCACTCTTGTATTTTAATGAATTATTTAGAGCCAAGAGAGGTAACAGAGCACATGTATGAAATGTACAGCACAATATTTATTGAAGTCTGTTTTAAAGAAATGTTTTGCTGCTCTTTATTGACAGGTGGTGAAACATCTTCAAGAAGTAAATTTCTCTCTTCAGTCAGGGGAGAGAGTGTATTTTGATAAAAATGGAGACCCTGCAGCATCCTATGAGCTTGTGAACTGGCAGAAAAATATGGCAAAAGATATTGTGTTCATGACTGTAGGGAGCTACGATGTTTCACTGCCAAATGGAAAACTATTTACTATGAATGGAATAAATATAACATGGGCTGGAGAGTCCTGGGAGGTAAGAAGCAGTTTTTTGTTAAAAGTAATCATTTTTGATATTTGCTTTGGTTGGTCCATAGAAAAAAAGATATTCAGATTTACTGTATATAATTTCATTTCACTCAACTTAGGGCATAATTGTAAAAACCTGAACTTTATTAAAAGTTGGCATTCAATAAAAAGTTATAGATATAATTGAAATCTCAAAAATTCACAAACTAATAAAAAGATTTGGATTTCTTCTTTTTTTGGTATTCATCTTAGAATCACAAATATATATTTAGGACTTACTAATCAAAGTCATTTTACTTTTTGTTGTGAATGTCGCAAAATTTTACATACATTTGTTTGATTTTATACATTTTTAATACCATCCAACTTTTTACTGATATTTTGAGTTATGTTATTCGTGTCAAAATATGTATAATCAAGTTCTATATTCAGAATTTTATTTTGCAATGTGTTATTGTGGTCAATTTAATACTTTCCCAAAGAAAAATGCATCTATCCATAAGTAAGGCTGCAACAAATAGTAGACCTTGTTTTGTTACAGAGGCCTGCGTCTGTCTGCAGTGAAAGTTGTCTTCCAGGTTTCCGACAGGCGATGATTAAAAACAAACCTTTATGCTGCTTCTCTTGTGTCGCCTGTGCTGCTGGAGAGATCAGCAACTCCAGCAGTGAGTAATGCATATTCCTCCCATACACTCCCTTTTATTGT